ATCCGATTCTTTCGTGTGTGTTTCAGAGAAGTGATAGTGAGTGGCATTTTCCGGACTAAGTGGTGCGCTTTATGGTCTCCCTTTTTCTAGAACTAGAACAAGCTCCCAGCTGCATCCATGTTCAAATTGAATAAAACTCTGCATATATGAACGACGACTTAGAAATGAATGGAATCATGATTATATATAGTTATGATCAGTTGAAAATATCTGAATTATTGCCACCAGCATATCATGTATGAAGTATTACGTAGTACATATTTAATTAATTAGCTCAAGTTGAATACGTAAAACGAGCCATGTATATGCAAATTCTAACACGGAGCCAACTTGATTGATGCCTCTTCCTGTCTTCCATTTAATTAATGGAGGCAATTAAGACCGTGGAATTACAAGTAAATAAATTAAGATAGTTATGACTGGGATGGGTAAAAGCGAATAGGGATGAAGAAAATCAACTGAGGAGGGTTAGATCTAGTGGGTTAGACCAGTCCCTCATATATAATGTGATATACGAATGCTCAAATTCTCGTTACAAAAAATGCTTATATTTAGTGTTTAACAGTAATTCAAATATAATTATCTTTAATAAAATGACACGTGTGATTAAAAAAAGAAAGAAAATATAAGCAAGTGGAGCCACATGCTAGAAAATGGGGTGCCTACCAACCAAAAGCGTAAATATATAATTAATATACTGGTATCAAATTAAAATATCCAAATTTCAACAATTAAGGCCACCCCTACCATACGACCCCACCTGTCATCCCCACCACCATCTGAAGTCTAGTTTTCTTTTCTATTATTATTATCATTATTATTATGAACACTAGCTAGCTTTCTTTTAGGTTGCATGTTTTCCTCTCTCCATAAAATATGAAGATACAATAAATAAAAAATTATAGATTTCTTCCTTTTAATTTTTTAAAAAATCACACTCCTAAAATTACGCATGCTTGCAAGCATTGAAAATATTTGGTTTTCCAAAAGGAACTTGAATATATTATGACTCAAGCTGGTCTTGACGTGCGAGCTCGAGAAGGGACTAAATAATAACTAAAAAAAAAAAAGTCCAAATTAAATGGATGAAACATGATGTTAAGAGGATCGTGCATTTGAAATTCAGGTCTAATATAATATTCCATGCAATCGATGAGGTCAAAGAAGAGAAGGGAACGAGAGACGAGTGGGATAAAAGTACAGCATCATACTGACGACCCTAGTAAAAATGGATAAAATTGAATTCATGCTCATCATTGATAAGGAAGAGTGCTTAAGGCACAAGATACAATAACACTGAAATAATAAGAGGAAAGCTGGGAGCAAGGGGCCACAAGGATTAGCGTTTAAAGGTTAAATGAATGTCGTCGACCAATAACAAAGCCAAAAAGGGTAGGAGGTCACATGGATACAGATTAGTGTGAGACTGGGAATGGTTTTCCTCCCACTACATAACTTTAACTTGCAGTATTTTGTCTGTCCTACTCCTAACAACAACAACAACAACTCCTGGCGCAAATTGTGTGGTCCAAACTCCAGTGGCTGTCAACAATGCACACCTCATGATCACTAACCAATATTCAGTGCCGCTGAATCAAACATCAAGTCTTGTTCGCTTCCAAATAATCCCTCCTCCATCATGCATCTCACCACCAAAACTGGCGTTGCAGGAAACTAAACAACCATTGCGCCTCATGAAAATAAGACACTCGTTTGTACCGCTTACTGTTTCTGTTTCGTTTCATGTGCCATTTACCCAAGCAATCTCCCACGTCTCATCCCAACCCTTGAAAGTTTATTTTAAAATTACTTGTGTACGGCCATGCAATCTCCAAAAGGACAAAGACAGGTTTACTGCCATGTGATGTCACATTTTAGAGGAGCACGAGAGAGAGTCAAATATGCTAACGTATATAGTAAAGTTTAATAGTTTATAATGAAATTGAAAGCCCTTGAAGCGTCTTGAAATGAAATTCTCGAAAGAGAAGCCTTTCAGCCTTTTCAGTGGATACAGAAACCACAAAATTTCTCCTTTGATCCTTTCCAACAACGCTTGTCTTTTTTTCCTTTTTCTTTTTTGGGCCAAGATGATTGTCATGATTCCGAGTCGCGTCATTTCAAAATGCATTGACCTTCCTACTTTTCGGCCGAAAATGGACTGACCTGCTTTGTATTGTAGGCTCATGGCTCGTGCATTAATCAGGCAGGCTTTAGGTGGACTTTGGGTTGCTTCCGAATCCCTTTTTTTTTTGGGCCAAAGATTCCGAAACCCTGTTTGGAAGCTGCGGTTAAGAAGAAAGCTCAAATTCCATGGGCATGCCAACGTGGGCTCAACCTTAATTTCCAAAGTCACTCTCACTACCCAATTGTTGGGCTGAGCCCCTTCCTATGTTCAATCTCAAATATAAAACACTCGTTCAGGTCTCCTGTGGTCTAAAATGTAAGAAAGGATGTCTTGGATCATTACATTAGATGTTTTATTTCTGAAACGCCCTCATTAAACAGCACGTGGGTTAAACTTGTAAGCCTGACAAAAGATCCGGGTATTTCCCACGCTGTCATGGGATGTAAACTTGCGCGAACAATCTTAATTAACACATCAACGTCATATATGAAAAAAATGGTTCGATTAAATCATCATATTATTGGATGAATTAGATGCAACACATCAGACAGATTGGCCGTGTCCTGGCCAGGCAAATGGTGCATTGCCACATACAAATGACACGGGTGTGATTAGACTCAAAATCCAGGTCATATGGACAGTTGCATTGGCATTGGATTAGACACAGAATTCCTCTGCCTGTGTTGAACAAAAAGTATACGAACGAGGACAATACAATTAAGGAAGAATTACTCTGAATTCTCACTTAACATAATTAATTATTCCTAGGTTTATTGATAACTAAATTTAGAAAAATGACAACACTTTTTTTTTCTCTTCCAAAATAATTACTCTAAACTCAATTGTCAATTGACCTGAAAATAATTAATTGTGTTGAATAAGACTTATATATAATTCTCCCTACATTAAAAGGTTTGGAATCCCAAGAGGCTCCTTCTTTTTCTCTTCCAAAATAACAACTGGCACCTCAAACTCCTCCTCCCTGCCCTGCTCTTTCTCTATTCTTAAAACCTTGTTTGCTTCCACTCATCCAAAAACCACGTCGTTCCATACAATATATAATTAATACTTAATAAAGAAGCATGGACAGTTATTGCCTGGAAAGTGGTGAAAAAGAATGAGAAACACGCCCACCCTTCTCCAAATGGGAAGCCAATACATTCAATTACGCTTTCTCCAATTAATCTTTCTTTTCCTTCTTCATTGTTCTAAATAATGACTTGTATCGAACTCAATGCTCGAGATTGCAGCGCCAAAATAGCTTTATATGCTTTTATATTCAGTTCTAAGGTACGGAGGAGAAGCCGCTGGCATATTAACCATTTAACACCTAATGAATACGTATAATGCTAACCTACGCGCTCTTTTCAGTGGAGGGGAGGCATCACATGTGAATACGGGACTTCGATTGGCATGTTCTTATACGCGAAACTATTTGTGCGTTATGAGCTTCAATGATATCAGACTTGATACCATTGCAATACCATCAAAAGAAACAATGGACTATAAAAAAGCCCACATCATACATTCAACATGATCATTAACCAACATAATGGAGAAGATTAGTTAATTTTGCATCCCAAATAATATTTTCCGCATATAAACTAAACCAAAATTTCCGTGTATATATATAATTGAAGTAAGATTTTTTTATTGCAGCGTATCACAATTAGAGAATCAGGGACTGGTTTAGTTCGTAAGAATATTCAGGCCATATAAAAGTCCTATTATATGTGGGAAGCTGTAATTCACTCGTGCTTAGTTTTAAACAGCTGGATGCAATGGGCTAAGGCTTGGAATGGAAATTATGTAATCTTCTAAAGTTTTCACGACGTTACCGAAAGCCTAATCAACACAGTTGAAAAGGCTGGCATTTGAAGTTCAGATGTGGAATTAGTTGGGGTCCTTTTGAGTGGGACGCGCAAGAGTGGATCGAAACTTATCTCTGCAAGTTAAGAAATAATCATCGTTTGCTGTGGACCAATCTCAAAGCTTCTTCCCTTTTTGTCTTTTGGCAACTGGCGTTCTTACACGCAAACCACTTTAATGAATCTCGCTACTTGCCAGTTGCCACCCTGCCTTTCCCTTCTTTTCCGGTTCCTATATCCATCATTTTCTACCATATTTTATTAACCAAGTCTCCAATCCTTCAAATTATAAGCCAAAATATCATCAAACCTGTCCATTTCACTTTTTGGTCTTCAAAATCCTGATCAGCCAAGTCTCTGTGGTCTGTACGTTTACCGTGGGTAAGAGAAAAAAGAAGGGAAAAGAAGACGGAAAGGACAGGGAAATATCGGCGAGTGCCAAACAGATATACTTCCGTATAGAAAAAAAAAAAGTTTAATTGTGTTTGAAAATGAAAGAATAGGATTATAATATCTTTTATTAATTATATTAATAAAATTTTTAATAATTATTTTTAATAATTATAAATAATAAATTTATGAGAAATAATTTAAAAAGTTTGCAGTAAATGTTTATTAAAAAATTAATTTTATTTATATAAAAATAAGTTAAAAATAATAATTTTTTAAAAAAATAAAAATGAAAGGAGTGTATGCCCACCTGGCGCCACCGAGGTAAGCACAGAATCTGAAAAAGCAAAGAAAGTAGTAATAAGTAGTCCTCCCAGTGTAATAAGGGGGAGTCCAGTAAGCAGACAGAGAGTCGGTGGGCCAAGAAAGCCGCGTTCCCCAGAATGCGTGTCCCATTCATTCTCTCTTGTCTGAGCAGTCGCACACAGCCGCAGCGTTGAAATCAAAGTTATTTTCCCCTTTATTTTAGACTTATCCATCCCTCCCTCCCTATCACTGTAGTCCCTTTTGTTTACAAATTATGCTCATCTGTTCTCCGCGCTCCTGCTTTCTATCCCCTATTTATACATGTATCTCCCCTTCCTTCCCCTCTCCACAACACGTCACAATATGGCCGTCTTCCTTTTGCTCTTCTCCCTCGTTGTTTCTTCCGCCACTGCTTGCGATCGCTGTGTCCTCCAATCCAAGGCTGCCTACTTCTCTAAATCTTCTGCTCTTACCTGTAATCCATTGGACCGCTCTTCCCCTTTTGATTTTGTTTATGAATTGATCATCTTTCTGACAGGTAATCTTTGTATGCAGCTGGGGCGTGCGGGTATGGCTCCTTGGCCGTGGGATTGAGCGGCGGACACCTGGCAGCTGCCTTTCCTTCTCTATACAAAGACGGTGCCGCTTGCGGCGCCTGCTTTCAGGTTCGCCCTACCGCTTCCGTTTCTTGTCCACTTTCTTTTCTTATCTTCCGCCCGCCGTGCTTCTGAATTCATGACTTGTTTGCAGATAAGATGCAAGAATCCGAGCTTGTGCAAGAAAACAGGGACGACCGTGGTTGTCACTGATCTCAACAACAACAACAATCAAACTGATTTCGTGCTCAGCAGCAGGGCCTTCTCGGCCATGGCTGACAAGGGTATGAGCGAGCAAATTTTGAAGCTCGGAATCGTGGACGTCGAGTACAAGAGGTGAGCTTTTGCTTTTTCATCGATTCATCCTTCCCCCCGGCCCACCCGATGGCACAACGACCCTCCACAATAATAGCAGTAACGGTCTAAACTTGTTGTCTAATATACTATCAGACACATCACAGGTAGCAGATACGAAGCCATTAGAAACTAGTTTTATATTACAATGGAATGGGATTTCAAAGTTTGAACGGCGCTACTTGTGGCGATGAGTCATACTAATAATAAATGAACAAACTAATTTATGGAAAATGTGTGTGGGTCGAATGGAGCAGGGTACCATGCGTGTACAAAAACAGGAACCTGGGAGTGCGGGTGGAAGAATCAAGCAAGAAACCGAACTACCTGGCGATCAAATTTTTGTACCAGGGCGGTCAAACGGAGATAGTGGGGGTGGACGTGGCTCAGGTAAAGAAAAGATTGGATTGAATAATAATTATTTCGAACAAGGAGATTGAAATTAAATAATGAAAGGGTTGAGTGTGAAAGCAGGTGGGGTCGTCGAACTGGAGATTCATGAGCAGGAAGAACGGGGCAATATGGGAGACGGAGAGGGCGCCGGAGGGCGCACTGCAGTTGAGGATGGTGGTGACGTCGGGATACGACGGGAAATGGATATGGGCTCCGAAGGTGCTGCCGGAGGACTGGAAGGCTGGCCTCATCTACGACTCCGGCGTTCAGATCACTGATATTGCCAAACAGGCATGCTCTCCCTGCGACGACGGCCCCTGGTCATGATCTCATTTCTTCACCACCGTCACCCGCATTCTTTTTTCCTCATTCTTTCCGAGGGCTATCTTCCACGTGTACAAGTATAAACCCAAAATAACATGGTGCATTGTTCATATTCTAGTATTAATATAAAGTCTCTCTCTGCATCACATAGTATTAATATAAAGTACTATTAATATTGTCAGGCTTTCATCATGAAAAGCACTGGCATGCTCGAGACCTCAGTTGGGCCGAGGAACTTGAGAAAAACTGAAGGCCTCAACCCAAAAATGAGTTACCTTTTGTCCAATGCTGTTTGTGCATTGAATGAAATGATCTCCTACTTACAATGCCATTTTTATTGATCACACTCGTCTAGGCCGTGCAGATGTCAATAAGCAAGATGTACATGTAATTTTGCGGGCGAAGTTGTCCAAATGCTGTACCTTGTCATCCGTGGTCATTGGGTGAAGGCCGAATCAGCTCTACTCATTAATTAACAGTGTCATTGATTTAAACTTGACATTAATTTGCATCAGCACCGTTGACATCAAACGCTACATTATTGTTCTACGAACGATTCTTGTCCTGTCTCCCTTCCCACAATTACTTCGCCATCCATTACCAAAACATTTTGGCATCCGAATGCAAAGGGTGTGTTAAGTTTTGATTTTAAAGTTACATGCAGCCGCTTGACTACTCTGCCCTTGATGCTCAAACAAGACTTGTAATCTGTAACATGATAAGGCTCTCGTTGCTTGCACTTGTAGAATGTCTAAGGAGGGCCTCCACAATGGACTTTGAATCTCATTCTAGGGTAATATTACGAAAGGCCATGTTTGAAGATAACAATAAGCCCTTAAAAAGTGGTCCAGTCCTTAGCTTCATGTCATCATGTGCACTTCATAAGCCTAAAAAATGCGAGAAACCAGCATTCCATTGGCCAGCATAGTGAAGGTTTCCAAACATTCTGAAAAGCTCATAGACAAGGAATTGCTGGATGGACACTCGTCAAAACAAGTGAAGTTCCGACGTTTATTCATAATGATACTCAGAGGGGTCCCTGGGATTTTGGACATTATCTTCTGAAATATACTCATTGCTCCAAAGCCAAAGCTTCAAGATTACCGCACGTCCGCACCCCATAATTCATCCCGAACAGCACTTCCATCATTACTGAAATTTCTCTTTAAATTCATGGAAATTGATTATAAAGATTTGGGTTAATGAGACGGACCCGTACCTGTTTAGCATGGCAACAATCTCTTGGAATATATATGGAGTTTTGGAGTATATGGTTATAACTGACAGGCTTTCGTTATGGGCTGTTACAAGAGTGGTACTAGGCCCACTATATATGCTAAGCACACCTTTCTAAGTCCTATATAACTCAGTTTTATTCTGCTTCTTTGAAAGATTGGTTTTCAGTTAATCTTAATAAGGATATTAGTTCTGATCTGCATGAGAATTGGAGTCTGATATGGGGGGTGGCAATATGGAAGCTTTGGATTTGGAGGAATAACTTTATCTTCAATACAAATTTCACCAAACCTGGTGAACCTACAATAGTCATGAATAATAAATGGAAATCATTTTCTATGCCTGATGAATTGAATGATGATAGTGAAGTCTCTTGCTGTAGTTCCTTGGTGACTTGGAAAAATCCACCTATTGATTGGTTTAAGGTTAATGTTGATGGTGCTATGTCAATAGAGTTGGATGTGGCAGTGTTATAAGGGATCATGGTGCTTGGGTGGTAGGGTTCACACTACTAAAAAAGAGAGTTTTACTACCCTAATTCACGCCACATTTGAAAATGTAACTTAGAAAGAACGCAATTCATGTTACTCAAACAAAAAAAGGTATGGGTTGTAAGAATTTTTTTTTATTTAGAAATTGAACTTAGATAAACTTAAAGTCTAATATTTTTTAACTTTAATAGGTAAATATTTATTTAATTTCTTATTGGTTCTATTGATTTCTTGTTGTAATTTTAGGATGTTTAATTTTTAAGGGGAGACTTTGTCAATTTTTTTTTTAAAGAAATGAGTCTAATTAAAGCACAAGTAAGGTAGTGAATTATTAATTTAATAGACTTTGTGATGATTTGTTAGGTAAAAATAGAATAAATCGTAGATGAATGAATGCTAGTAGAATGATTAAGGAGTATGAGAATGGTATGGATCAATTTTTTGAATTTGCTAGAAAAAATGTTCCTAGCAAAAATGAAAAGTATTGTTACCTTTGTGTTAATTGCATGAATAAGATTAAATTGGAAATTGATGAAATAAAAGAGCATTTACTTTGTGATGGGATAAATTAGATATGGCATGGGAAAACAAGAACAACTTCTATATCCTAGAATGAGCAAATTGTTAATAATTGGGATGATAAAATAAAGGATGTGATTTGTGATGTTGAGATGACATCATTTGCACAATCATAGGTATATGACAACTTTTGTAGTGATGCAGAGAAGCCCTTATACCTATGGTGTACTAAGTTTACACTTTTGATAGACGTGTTGGAATTGGTTAACTGAAAATCAAGAAGTGGGTGAACCAATTCGAGCTTCACATAGTTGCTTGAATTCTTGAGTTAAATGATTCCAACCCATAATTTTCTTCTAAAATGTATATATGAGGCAAAGAAAACCTTATGTCTAATGGGCATAGATTATAAAAGGATACATACTTGTCCTAATGATTGTATATTATATAGAAATGAGTATGAAGGGCTACAAAAGTGTCTAAAATGTGGGACTTTGCAGTACAAAGTAGACAAGGATGATGATGTTGATGGTGATGAGATCATAACTAAAAGGCCTTCTATGAAGATGATATTGTATCTTTCAATAATACTATAGTTTTAACTTTTGTTTTCTAATCTAACAGAAGCAAAGAATTTGAGATGGGATTTTGATGAGAAAATATCTTATGAAAAACTTTGACACTAGGTTGATTCTCCTCAATGGAAGACAATAAATCACATATTTCCTTAATTTGGCAGCTATTCGAGAAACCTTTAGCTTGGACTCTATATGCATAGAATCAACCCGTATGGCAATCTTAGTACCATACACTGTACAACCTACCTTATTGGTTGTGTATGAAGTGTAGATACATAGTATTGTCTTCGATGATTTCAAGACTAAAACAGTTAGGAAATAATATTGATATCTACTTGGCACTTTCGATTGAGGACTTGAAAATGTTGTGGGAGGAACGTGCAGGTATATTTGATACTTATAAGCAAGAGCACTTCAAGTTGCATGCCATATTTTTATGACAATAAATGACTTTTCTATATATGAAAACTTGTTAGGATATAGTGTCAAAGGCCAAGATGCATGTCCTATATGTGAAGAAGGCACACACCACTACCAATTTAAGTATAGAAGAAAAACAATCCACCTTAGTCATCGAAGATTTCTTTATTAATATCACTCTTATTGTAGATTGAAAAAGGCTTTTAATGGCTTGCAAGAGTATGAAATGGCTCCAAAGCTCTTAACCAGAGATCAAGTTTATCAACATGTAGAAGGAATCAATGCCAATTTCAATAAGAATCAAAGGAATGCAACTGAGAAGAATGTGTGAAAAAAGAGGTCTATTTTTTATCTTTTATATTGGTGGAGTATAGATGTGAGGCATAGTCTTGATGTAATGCATATGGAGAAAAATGTATGCGATAGTCTTATTAGTACGCTTGTGCAAATAAGTGGCAAGACTAAGGATGGAATTAATGCTAGACTAAATTTAGCTGAAATGGGAATAAGAAAAAGTTTACGTGCACAACAAAAAGAGGGGAAGAAAGCTTATTTACCCCTAGCGGCACACACATTATCTCAAGAGGAGAAAAGAACTTTATGTAAATGTTTGCATGATATTAAGGTGCTACAATGGTATTCTTCTAATGTTAGAAGACTTATCTCGATGAGTGATTTAAAGTTAACAGGCATGAAATTTCATGATTGCCATGTGTTGATGCAATAACTTTTACTAATGGCTATTTGAGGGATTATGAAAGATGATGTGAGACGTACTATAACTAGATTGTGTATGTTGTTCAATGTTATATGTAGCAAATTCATAGTTCCTAACAAGTTGGATGAATTAGAAAATGAGAGTTATATTACTTTATTAAAAATGCATTTTACTCCAACAAGTTTTGATATTATAGTGCATTTAGTAATTCATTTGGTTAAGAAAGTAAGACTTTATCATCCTGTTTATCTAAGATGGATGCACCCATTCAAACAAAACATGAAAATTTTAAAAGGGTATTCTAAGAACCCATACAGGCCTGAAGCATCAATTGTTGAATGATATGTGGTGGAAAAGGCTGTTGAATTTTAAACTACATATCTAAAAGGGTTGAAGGCTGTTGGAGTCCCTCGAACTCGGCATGAGGGGATAAGACTTGCTAGTAAGGGAACACAAGGGGTCAGAGTTAAGTATATGTCTCATGAAGAAGTCTTGCAAGCATATCTGTATATCTTGAATAAGATGGAAGAATTTTAACCTTATTTAGATACTCATAAAAAGTTGTTGAAAGACAAATACCTAAGAAAGAATGAAATGCAGCTGGCTAATGATCACAACAAGACTTTTAAAAGATGGTTCAAGGAAAAGGTTATGAATGAGACTAGTGTGTTGGATATAATAATATGGTTAGTTGAGAGATCTCATTTTGAGGTTGTATGTTGGGGTGGGTATGATATAAATAGTTATTTCTTCTATATAAAAGCCCAAGATGATAAAAGTACCATGCAAAATAGTAAGGTAATAGTAAAAGCTGTAGCTCAGTATTTTTCTAATTCAAAAGATAATACCCCATTATTAGTTCACGCAGACTATTATGGAGTGTTGATGAGATATGGGAGGTGAACTACACTAAATTTAAAGTACCTATTTTCAAATACAAGTGAGTTTACTTTAATACTATTGAAGTAGATAAGGAATTTTGATTTATTTCAGTTGATCTCAAGAGGCTTGGTTTTAAAGATGAGCCTTTTATTTTAGCAAGTCAGGCAAAATAAGTATTTTATGTTACTAATCCAGTGAATAAATAGAATTTTATTATACTACAAGGCAAAAAACAAATTATTGATGTGGAGGATAGTGACTTAACTTTTAACCTTGATGAAACCCCACCTTTTACTATA